AAGACAAATATAAGGCATTCAATTATTATCAAGAATCTGTTAACATGGGTAATGCTAATGGAATATATAATGTTGGTGGTTGTTATCAAAATGGAATTGGAACTGAAAAAGATGAATATAAAGCATTTATTTATTATCAAAAATCTGCTGAGCTGGGACAGGTTAGAGGATATGCAATGTGGTTTTTGTTATGATAAAGGAATTGGCGTTAAAGAAGACAAATACAAGGCGTTCGCTTATTTTCAAAAATCTGCTGAAATGGATGATACTGTAGGGCATTTAATGCTGGTTACTGTTATCAAAAAGGAATTGGAATTGAAGAAAATAAACATGGGGCATTCATTTATTATCAAAAATCTACTATTTAGTACTTACTTATTATCAAAAATCTGCCAATATGGGGAATGCGAATGGAATGTGCAATCTTGGTAATTGTTATATAAATGAAATTGGGGTCGAAAAAGACCAATATTTTGCATATCGTTATTATCAAAAATCTGCTAATATGGGTAATAATAATGGGATATTTTATATTGGTATTTGCTATAATAATGGATTTGGAATTAAAGAAGATAAGAATCAGGTATTTATTAATTTTTATAAGTCTGCTGAGATGGGACATGCTAATGGAACATTCAATGTAGGTTATTGTTATTTTCATAGAATTAAAGTTGAAAAGAAGCGCTCATTAAATTTCAAAAATCTGCTGAGATGGGAGATGCTATAATGTTGGCTGTTGTTACGCAAACGGGATTGTAACTGAAAAGGATGAACATAAAGCATTTATTTCTTATCAAAGATCTGCTGAAATGAACCATATCGAAGGAATACGAAGTGTTGGTTATTGTTATCTAAATGGAATTGGAGTTGAAAAGGCGATCGTGAAGCATTTGTTCATTATCAAAAATTTTCTGATATGGGAAATGCTGATGGGACATATAACCTTGGTAACTGTTATCGAAGTGGACAAGGTGTTGAAATGGATGAGCATAAGGCATTAAAATATTATCTGAAATCTGCTGAAATGGGAAGTGCTACTGGAATGTCTCGAGTTGGTGACTGTTATCGGAATGGAGTTGGAACAACAAGAGACCTACAAAAAGCCAACTATTGGTATCAAATATAAATAAATTACTTAAATCCTTTTTTTAAAATACGTGTAGATTTGTTTAATAAATTTATGTATTCAAATTTGATAAATAGGGAGAAGAATCGAACACCTGGTATCTAATTTACTTAATTCAATTATAATATCGAATTTATTTTTGCATTCATTATTAGTTACATATGAATGGGTTTATAAAAACTTGATGGTGCTTTAAAAAGAATGTTGATCGAAAATAAGTACGATTTCCTTATAATGAATTTAAAGAAATTGAAAAGAAAGGACAAGGTGGTTTTGCAACAGTATATTCGGCTAAATGGGTTGATCGAAATCGGAAATTCGAAATAAATGTTGCACTTAAATTGATTCACGGATCAAGATACCGTCATGAAGAATTTATCAATGAAGTAATTTGTATTTACCTTATCAACTTGATGGTTCTTTTAACAACTTTGATCTTATATTCTTTTAAATAATAAGTTGAAGGCACATTGCGACATCGGCATTGAAGAACACACATTTTTAAAATATTTTGGCATCTCAAGGAATGATGATTCCAAAGATTATATTCTCGTTATGAAATATGCGTTAATGGGCTCATTACGTAAAAATCTTTATTTAGTATCGCGTATGAGATGGGAAAAGAAACTAATTATGCTCAGTTGTATAGCTTCTGACCTTCATATAATTCATTCTCAAAATCCTATTCACAAAGATTTACATAGTGGTAATATACTTTTAAGTGACCTTAATAGTGCATATATTACAGATTTAGGATTATCGGCATTGGCTAACATGGAATCGGACAACAAAGTATGTGGTATAATACCATATATTGCACCAGAAGTATTATACGATAGAGAATATAGTAAGGCATCTGATGTGTATTCTTTTGGTATCATGGCGCACTATATCCAACTACAGATCAACATCTATAAGGGATTACGTCCAAATATTCCAAAACATGTACCAAATTTAGTTGCTGATAAATAGATGTTTGAATGCCCAGCCGAACAAAAGACCAACATCTGAAGAAATAAATAATATTGTAGATATGTGGAATGATAAAATTTTAAAAATGAATCAACCGAGTTCGTTAAATAAATAAAGATGGCTGATGAAATCTTAATGATTTTTCGTCATTTCATTCCGAAATTCATTCCGAAGCAGTTTACATAAGCAGACAATTCGATCCTCTAAATACCAAGGATATTAATATGCAATTTAGTCATTTCGTATAATACTTTTGTAATCTGATAATTTTATCTTCTATATTGTTGTTCTAATGAAATTGTCTAATTATTATAAAGATAACCAAGGTGAACAAAAGGATTCATAATTAATAAAAGATTTGATGAGAGAGAGGATGCTAAGGGATGGTAGTACTTGGTTACCATTATCAATAATATAAATAAGGCATTTGATTATTATAAGAAATCTGCGGAAATGGGAAATACTGATTGAATATATCACCTTGATGTTCTTTAACGAGATGGAAAAGGATGAACATAGGGCATTCATTCTTTTTCCAAAAATCTGTTAACATAGAAAACCATGCAGGAATGTTCGCACTTGGTATTTGTTATGAAAATGGAATTGGAATTGAGAAGGATGGAAAGAAAGCATTTATTCATTACCAAACATCCGCTAATATGACGAATATTATTAATACGATTAATAACCTTGGAAATTATTACAAAAATGGAATTAGAGTTGAAAAAGATGAAGTCATGGCATTTAATTATTTTAAACAATCTGCAGATCGGGAAAGTGTTATCGTTATTGGAATGTTACATAGGTGGAATTGGAGTCGAAAAGGATGAACATAAGGCATTTATTTGTTATCAAAAATCTGCTGAAACAGGTGATATAATGGAATCCTTTACCTTGGTGATTGTCATCGAAATGGAATTGGAGTTGAAAAAGATGATTATAAGGCATTTCTTTATTATGAAAAATCTGCTAATATGGGAAATCCTGAAGGAATGCGTTAGGTCGCTTATTTTTATCATCACGTAATTGGAGTAGAAAAAGGATAGAAATAAGGCGTATAATTATTACCAAAAATCTGCTGAAATGGGAAATGCTATTGGTGTATATAGTCTTGGCAGCTGTTATCATGACGAAATTAGAGTTGCAAAGAATGAGTATAAAGCATTCATTAATTTTCAAAAATATGCTGAGATGGGATAGGAGCATACATTACTGGTTATTGTTACGAAAGTGGAATTGGCGTTGAAAAGGATGAACGTAAAGCATTCACTTATTATAAAAAATCTGCCGACATGGATCACGTTATAGGAACATATAATGTAGGCAATCATTATCAAAATGAAATTGGAGTCGAAAAAGATATTAATAAGGCATTTATTTATTATCAAAGATCAGCTGATATGGGTAATACTGATGGAATGCTAGTTTTATTTTCATGGAATTGGAATTAAAAAGGACGAAAATAAAAAGCATTTCTTCATTATCAGAAATCTGCAAAGATGGATAGTAGTAATGGAATGCTTGATACTGGTGATTGTTATGAAAACGGAAATGGAGTTGAAAAAGATTTACATGAAGCATTCATCCATTATCAGAAATCTGCTGAAATAGGTAATAGGAGATTGCTATGAAAATGGAATTTATCCATTATAAGTAGTCTTCTAAGATGGGAAATGTTGATGGAATGTTTAAAGTTGGTGTTATCATAATGGCATTGGAGTTGAAAAGGACGAACATAATGCATTTATTTATTAGCAAAAATCTGATAAGATCGGAAATGCTAAAGGAACTTATCAAATTGGCTGCTGTTTTCAACATAGAATTGGAACTGAAAAGTACGAACATGAAGCATTCACATATTTTCAAAAATTCACTGAACATGGGACATAATGATTGAATATTTAATCTTGATCAATGTAGTTGGAATTTATAAGAATAAATATGAAGCATTTATTTATTATCAAAAATCCGCTAATTGAAGGATATATTCAGTATTGACACGTTAGACCTTTAAGAAATTAAACGATAGAGCATTTTTCTTACATAATTTTCTTTTTAAATATGTACAATATGTTCCACCTTTGATAAAATCACACAATTTTACTATTTCTCATAATAGTTTAAGTCATTAACGTTTAAACGTAAACTATTAGCGCTTTAAAATTTTGATGCAAACCATTTGAATGAACTTAAAGTACTAGTACGTTGTCAAATTTTCAATAAAATATAGAAAATTAATAGAATAATAATTTATGCAGTATTATATAATAATAAATAAATATAAAGACTTATTATCAAAAATATGTTAAATTGAATGCGACTCAGTTTCGGTGACTTACCAGGTGAAAAAAAAAGCGTAAACCTTTTACCAGGCAATGCAAATCATATAGATGACGGAAATATTTTAAATCATGAGTCTTTGTCACCAATATCTTTCAGGCTATCTGTGGACTAGTATCACTGTTTATGAAGTGACTAGCATATTTTCCCTTATCATGTTTACAATTTGAATTCAATATGTACCTATGAAAATGTGTTAAAATGTTTAACAGATTTAATATTTAATGTTTACTATACTCTCTATACGTTACAAAAGAAATTATCTAGATTACTTGGATGCTTGTTATAAATACTAGGTTGCTCGCAATGAAATTATTACAAACTTTGATTTGATAAAGATCGAAAGATTTTGTCACGGATAATAGATGACGTATATAGTTGGGTGAAGAGGAATAAGAACGGCGTCAACTGATTCGTAAAAAACAATGAGTCACTCAATACACAAATCGTAACAGAGAGAATATCTTTTATTCCTAATTTTTTTTACACAATTATATGTACTAAAATAGATAAATTTTCTCCTATTATATGCATATTATTTTAAGTTCAAAATTTAAAGGTTCTATAAAATTAATACCATCCAACCAATAACGAAATAGAATAAGAACAATGGATATACAGCTAATGCCCGACGATTTGATAAATGTGATGATGATAGAAAATTAATTGATGCTATAAGCAAATAAGACAATGAAAGGTTAGTAATCTGAAATAATAATATATGCATCAAATTAAACTGTAAGAAAAGCTTCTCACCCCAAGATGACCATAAAAATGCCAATACCACCAAAGGTAATCTTACGTAAACCCTTTTAACGAAAACTGCTATAAATGCTGCTATAACTAAAGGAAATATACAATAGCCAAGAACACAAACACTTTGGAAAAAGGACCTAAATTGCCGATAAAAATATTATATGCGTAAATATTAGTTTAATTTAAAATTAGAGCAATTAACTAATTACAACTTACACTGAACCCCCTAAAAGTTTCGCGTTTATCGTCACGATAGCTGACCCAAACCATACGATGATGAAAACACCAGTAAACGCCATAATTTCTTGCTCTTTTTGTGCACTAATACCCAATAATCTATAATATTATTAACAATAATATAAGAATAACGTAAAGACTAAGAAATATTTTCGTATAAAACATTATCACTTACATGGCTAGTGATAAACAAAGAATTAATGGACCCCACAAATCCCCTTTAATTAAATAATAATAAAAATGCGAACTGATTTAATCCAACTAATAACAAAAACAACAATAAATAGCAACAATAATCATGAACATATTTACAATCTCGTAAAACATCGCTGCTCCCCTTAGGATGAAGAACTTGTTGCAATTTAATTGCAACATTTTTCAGGTCTCGAAGCTTAAATGTTATAATGATTTATGAGAATTACGCAAATGTAAATAAAGTTATAAAAATTTTAAACCTACAATAGTTTGTGAAACTGGTTCATCTAGGGTGCCAGAAGCATAATGTTTGGATTGATTACTAGTCTCTCCTACAGGGGGCGATTGTGTATCTGTATTAACGGTTGTTGTTGATTTTGGAGTAATCGACGAATTTGAATGAGCGGAAGAAAGGTCTATATCATCAGATTCTATTGTCATATTGGGATTGGCAGAAATAACATCTTCGTCTACAGAAATTTCAAAAGGATTGGCATTTGCATCTCCTGCGTTGTGAAGTGAAGAATCGTTATTTGCTGATGAGAATTGCATGGTAATGGTTGGTTTTTCTATAAGTTGCTAATTAAAGTAATAATGGTCAACAACAAACAAAAATATTTGAAGTTTTAGAACCTTTTAAACTAACCTCTATTTTTAAATCAGTGCAGGAAATTGTGTTTTTTTTTTTGATTCAAACTATTTCAACTCAAACTGGAAAGCTACCAGTTATAGTTATTGTATTAATGGTAAAAAGTGTCCACGTTTATATGGAACCAAAACCAAAGTAAAATCGACAAGTATAACCTGAGTCGACCTGTATTTCATACGTACGTGCGTACGAATGTAGTTTGTACGTACTATATATTTGATATGCAAAATACAATACTTATTGTACATACCCATTGATTGGTTCTCGGTTTGAGCCAATTACATTCTGTCTTATGGTTTGTGTATTTCTTTTTACAACCATATCGAGACAGCAGTTTTTTTTTTATCCTTCAAAGACAATTAACGCATAAGATATCAATAAAAAGATGTCTAACATCTTTAAACGGAATCATCCAATAACAACTATATAGGAGATAAAGAAAGGTAATAATACTTCAGATTTTGTGGCTGTTAAAATTTAATGCTGTCGATGATGATTAAATGTTAAGGCTAATGAACTAGAATGCTTCGGTCTTGATTACAAAAATGTTTCTTCACTTTGACCTGAGATCAGTAGAGAAATTTACATTATCATTGAGTTTAATAGGTTCGATTTTTAATTTGATTTCTATTATTTCTAGGAATTTCGTGACTACGATGCTTCAAACTAGAATGGAATAATTATGAAGTTATATGTGACACTGTTTTCGACCCAAATAAAATTTAAGTATATTGGATTCAAATTTAAATTTTGCGTTTCTGTATTTATTTCTAATTTAAATATGGAAATTCCAAAATAAATTCAATTCCAACGTTGGATTCTTTGGCGAAAATTTTGTGAATGGCCTGTATGATTCTGTCTCTAACGCTGGGATATCTCACACTGGGATATCTCACACTGCCGTATATCGATATGGCTCTTTGTTTATATATAACGATATTTGTTATATTTTTTCACCCAGAAAGATAAAAGAGGAATAGATGGTAGGAGTAACGTTTAATACGTAGGTATTCAGATCTGGACGGATATGATAATTATGTCACAAGTATTCGTTTATCTATCTTCTAAATAAAGAGACCACTCGCCATTACACAGGGTGACAATTTACTAACAAAATATACCGTACCTACCGATACAACTATAATAAATATTAAATTGTCACTATCAATGATGTTGAGAAATAGCCTGTCGGGGAAATAACTTTCAAGGAAATGAGCGTATGCCTTGAAAAAACACGAAACCTAATTTCGTATTTTGTCATTTTAATGACGAAATAACGAAACTGATGAAAAGTGATGAAACTTATAAAAGTGACGAAACTAGGAAGAGTGGCACGAGAAATTCTTCTATCTTTTTTTTAATTTAGGTATGCCTCCAATTTTTTTGCCTACTTGTATATTTTTTGATTAAAGGCAGACATAATCCAAGAAGGCGTGCATGTCTTGGGGCATTTCATAAAATATGTGCTTTTATCCTAGATGAAAAAACCAATCAAAGTAATAAATAAAGATTTTTAGAACCCAACATATGATTAATATTATTATTTTCAAAGCTTAAATTTATCAGAGTTTTTTTATATATTTGATCTAATTTTATATAATATATATATTATCATTGAAACCAATATTTGCAATTTTTTTATTTTTATTTTTATTTTTCTTAAGCAGTCACGTTAGTACTTTATTAAGATTCTTTGCAATTATATAGAAACTAGCTGAAAACCCGTGCTTTGCACAGGTGCATATATAGTCTTTTTCTTCTATAATCACAACCTTGGTTTTAAGAATTTAATGCTTATAAAGAGGTTGTGCTTATATAGAGGTTAAATTTTATAAGTATTATATATACTGTTATTAGTTTTACAAAAAATATTATAATGTATATAAATAAGTTACATGGGTCTAATTATAAAGGTAGTAAATCAGATTACAGTTTTATCTCATATTTTTTATTTTTATTTTTTTATTTTTTTTAAGAGAGGTTTTTCCTCTAGTTCTTTATTTCAGTAATATATAATTAAGTACAATTAGTACAAATTGATATATTAAACTAAGAGAGTAGGGGTTAGGACTACTTTACCTTTAACTTATTCTTAGCTAGAATGGTTAAGAGACCTCTAGTCTATGGATTAAATAATAGGAGATGTTTGGTTTAAATGTATAAATCTATTAAGCCATAAGGTATATTGTCTATTTATTGACATTAGTAATGTATGATCTGGGTTAGTGATGGTAATAGTTAGTGCAGATGGAATCTGTTGTTAAACATATATTCTACTTAGTTTTCATGTATATTTGTGTATCTTTTTTGTAATTCAATAGTAAATGTTTGGTAATAAGTTCTTTTTTAATGAACCTAGTTTGAGTAAGTTATTTGTTATAATTCCAATCAGAATTTGTTGATCTATGTGAATGTTTTGTATTTCTTTAACTAGATTTGTTAATATTGTTGTTTCAATTTTATTATATTTGCAGACTTTTGTTATTGTTTTTTTTATTATTTCTTTCAATTCTATTTAGTTGTATGGGCAGGTAAGCATATAGACTGAGTTTTTTAGTATGTTTGAACATTTTGCATAATATGGGTTGGTATAAGTTTTTGGGTTTCTTTTATGAAAGTTAAGATGTGTTGGTAGTTCTGAAGTTAGAATTTTGATTTTGAATATTTTTAGAATAGATTTTGTAGGATTAGTATTTTGACTAAGAGGTTTGTTTTTGAAATTAAGATATTCAAATATAAGTTTCCAATTGATGTTTGAAAGATTGTCAGAAATATGTTTGATGCACTTCTGATTATTCCATGTGATGATTGTTTCTGTTCATTGTAAAGTTTTAGGTATTTGGTAAATAGCATAAGTAGTTAGTATATTCATTATAAAGTGAATAAAGGTAGTGTTTAGTACTGTATTAGGTAGCAGGTCTATATAGAATTAACAGAAAGCATTTTTTATACTGATTTTTTCTTCTATTAGCTTGATTTTAATCTTTAAATTTTTAATCTTGATTATAGTATTAAAAAGAATAGTGATATTATTGAAAGGAGTTTTTTTAGTTTATGTTTTTGTTCTGATAAGATCGTAAGCATTGTTGAATTTTGTTAGAAATGTTGCTTTTATCAGTTAATATTTGAATTTTTGTTTCTTTTGTTATTACTATAAGGATTATTGTAAGCATTGTAAATATTGCATAATCTGAGAAAGGAAAGGTTTGATTGGTGTAATGCTATGTATGGTCATTATACTAAAATGATAATTAAGCATAAGGAGTATTGTATCTATTTGTTTTCTTGAAAGTAGTTGTGAATTTGAGATTTAGTTCTTTTGGAAATGAACTTGTCATATATAATTTCTATATTTTTTCTTGGTTATTTGCAAAGGTCTGTAGAAGTCGATAGTTAGTTCGATATTTTGAAGTTAGAAGTAAATATTTGTAACTTTGTTTAGATTGTATAGTTGTTTGATGAAAGCTATAAACAATTAAGGTTTGCATGAATTTGTTTATAACAATTAATTTGAATTTTGAAGGTTTGGTGTATGGAATTAGTAAAGTAGCAATGGGTTGTTTTAAATTTTGGGTTTTTGATTTGATATCCAAGACATGGTATTAGTTGGTGATCATTTAATGGATGAGTGTTGTAGTATTTGATTTTGGCTTGATTATTAATGATACTTGTTAATTTTTTAAATTGTTGTGATTTTGTAATTATCCATTGTAAAGTCATAGTTTTATGAAGATGTATGAGTTGGGATAGTTTAGTGTTATAGATGAACTTGTTAGTGAAGTTATATAATCTGTGATTGTTTTGAACTATTTTAAAGTTTTGTTTCTTGGTATTTTTTGTATATTAGGATGAAAAGATATCTAATCTAGAATATTGTAGTTTGAGTAGTCAAGAAATTATTTAATACAGGTTATATTGTAGTTGTTTAATTTTTTTTTGATTGCATATAGTTGTTTTATTGATTGAAGAATTTAGTTAATAGATGTGCCTTTTGTTTGTTTGAAAATAGGCTATGGGTTGGTTGTGTATTCTAGCTGGATGTTTAGTAAATAAAGTATGAGTATTATTTGGACTATGTTTGTTTTAACTTCATTTGTAGTTAATATAGGTTGTTCTAATAAGTTTGATTTGTTTGAGTTGGCTGCATTTTGAATTTGTTGTAATCAGATTTTTAAACTATAAGTATCAAAGTCAGATGAATTAATGCTTCTATCTAATGTATAAATTTGTTGCTGTTATTGAACATTGTAAAGTGTATTTAGAATGTATATATTAGGATAATATAAGGTGGAATTAGGAGTAAACTGAGCTAGTCTAGCTTTTTGTTTGATAATATTTATATATAGGTTTGTAATAAAGTTGCAAGAATATTTTGATAGATAAGTACTTTGCATTTGATATACTGTGTATGTAAGGATTACATTATTGATAATATAAATAGCCTGTTTGTTAGTTATTTTAGCAAATTTGATTTTGTTTAAATTAGAAGTAATGTCTTTAATAAGAAATTTATTTGTAGATTAAAGAGATAGATCTCGAGTAAGCCATGCTCCTAGATGTCTAAATATTGCTTTTTGTTGGAATTTGGTATATTTTTTTCTTAAAATATTATATTAGTATTAGAATCTGAATCATTAGTTACTAGTATTGATTTGTGAGGATTGACTTTAATATTGGTATAAGAAAGGAAGAAGTTAACTGTTTTTAGTATATTTTGTAACTCTTGTTTATCTTTGGCTATTTTTTTTTTTTTTTTGATGTTAAGGTGAGGCCTTGCTCATATCTTTATTAGTAATTTTAGTTATACATATTAATATACTATATATTAAGAATATACTAAGATTGTAAAATACAAAATAAAAACTATATGCAAGAATTAAAGCTCAGACAACATTATCTGCGA